TGAGAGAAGCGCCGCTTCCCCTCCTCCTCCATCTCCCAACACCCCCACGGCGGTATTAACTCGGGGGGGGGGGGAGCCATCCTGTTGGGCGGGTACCCATCCTTCTCTTTCTATTAAAAGGACTCCGCGATCAGCAATACTGGAGAGACACCTGTTAGCGTTTTTTGCAACCCAGCATTTTCCCACAAAGTCACCCCACGGCTGAAGGTTGGAAAAGCTTCTTCTAGCAGACTCCAAGTCAAGAAGCGTTAACATAAAAGTGAAAAAGTTCAACAACAACAAAAGTTAATATATTATTATATATTATATATATATATATCACTTTTATGTTAAAGCACTTTTATGCATTTTTTCCTTCTTTGTAATAAAAAATAAATAATAAAAAGACAAGTCAAGTAGCGTTCGATCCCTGGATGGTTGCAATGAGTTGATATGCAAGCTTGCATGCCCTCTTCCAGGGTGTTCCCATGGGGGACAAAGTCTACCAGATGACAGGGTGTGCATCGTGATCAAATTCCCTTACCCGTATGTATATTTGTCAGGGGCATCCATAGGGGGTCAAAAAAGTCAAGATGGTGGTGATTGAAGGCCCACCCTATTTTTACGTGCAGGGCCTTCTTTGCACCGGCACCCCTTTTGGAGTTCTCCTTCCTTTGCCAACTCTGTGACCCGATGGATCTTTAGGTGCCAAATTAAACTTACATTTCTAGATTTGGGGAGTGGTTTTGATCCACAGGGAAGAGACTTGCTAGAACATCCTGTGTTGTTTACATGGTTTAAAAAAAAAAAAAAAGACACCGTGTGTGCTGTTTTGAAAATACTGAAATGAAACGCAGGGTTGGAAGGTCTTTTAAAAAAAATAGAATCGATCGGTGAAATGTTAAAAGCTTCTCAGTAGAATTCCTTGCAGGCTTTTTAACACTGATGGTTTCCAAGCACATTGTCACGATGACTGAACGGGTGTATGTGCAGCTGAGACCTACAACTTCTCTCTCCTTCGCATACTCACTGCCGGGGACCTGTACAGCCTGCCCTTAGGAATCGCTTTCTGTCCATTGGCTGCAGCCCACCAAGATTGCGCCGTTGAAATTTGGCAGAAAACAAATGTTGACAACCCAATTTGGGCTTTAGAAATAAATAATAGGAGTAGTACAACTCCATCTGTTTTGCTTTACTTCCCCCTGCCTAATGCTCCAAAATGGGGGGGAAAAAAACAGCCAAAATGTTCAGCCCTGGCTATAACCACCACATAGCCGGTCTGTTGCCTGGGGTCCTGGCAGGCCAAAAGAATCATGGAATCCTAGGGTTGGGAGGGACATTAGAGGTCTTCTAGTCTAGCCCCCTGCCCAGGGAGGAATCCTCAAAGTGTCTCAGACCAAGGGCTGTCTTTGCTTAAAACCCTCCAGGGATGAAGCCCCCACCACGCCAGGAAGCAGGCTGTTCCGCTGCGCTGCATAGGAGCTGTCACGGCTGGGAAATTCCTCCTGATGCTGAGTTGGGATCTCTCTCTGTAAGGCCTCCTTCTCCCCCCCCCCCCCCCCCCCCCCCCC